ATTTTATCATTACAACAAGAGGGCCATGATGGCCCTGAGGTCGCTCACCTGTATATAGGCCCCCCCAACCCCCACTCCCCCAACGTTGCAGAGCCAATTTAACCCAAGGGCTTTTATTTGCACAAACATGGTAGACACCCATAAGAAGATGTTTCATGCTAAACATTTAAGTTCTAGCTCATTGGGCTTTTTAAAAGAAGATTTTTTTTAGTTTTTACTATACACATATAGTTAAAAACAATGACACCCCTGGGGCCGGGCCAGTTTTGACCCCAGGGCTTTTATTTGAACAAACTTTGTAGACACTTACTAGAAGATGTTTCATGCTTAATATCTAAACTCTAGCTATTTGGGTTTTTTCAAAGAAGATTTAAAGTTTTTGCTAAACACATATAAAGAAAACCAATTTTCACCCCTGGGCTTGTATTTGAACAAACTTGGTAGACACCTATTAGAACATGTTTGATGCTCAATATCTTAGCCATAGCTCTTTGAGTTCTTTAAAAGAAGATTTTTTAAGTTTTTACTATATGCATATAGGGAAAATCAATGACCCCCCCGGGGCGGGGCCAATTTTCACCCAGGGCTTTTATTTGAACAAACTTGGTAGACACCCATTAGAAGATGTTTTCATGCTAAATATCTTAGCTCTAGCTCTTTGGGTTCTTTAAAGAAGATTTTTCAAGTTTTTACTATATGTATATAGGGAAAATCAATGACCCCCCGGGGCGGGGCCAATTTTGACCCCAGGGCTTTTATTTGAACAAACTTGGTAGACACACACTAGAAGATGTTTCATGCCAAATATCTAAGCTCTAGCTGTTTGAGTCCTTTAAAAGAAGATTTTTCAAGTTTTTACTATATGCATATAGGGAAAATCAATGACCCCCCGGGGCGGGGCCAATTTTCACCCCAGGGCTTTTATTTGAACAAACTTGGTAGACACCCATTAGAAGATGTTTCATGCTAAATATCTTAGCTCTAGCTCTTTGGGTTCTTTAAAAGAAGATTTTTTAAGTTTTTACTATATGCATATAGGGAAAATTAACGACCCCCGGGGCGGGGCCAATTTTGACCAAAGGGCTTTTATTTGAACAAACTTGGTAGACACTCACTAAAAGATGTTTCATGCCAAATATCTAAGCTCTAGCTCTTTGAGTTCTTTAAAAGAAGGTTTTTTAAGTTTTTACTATATGCATATAGGGAAAATCAATGACCCCCGGGGCGGGGCCAATTTTGACCCCAGGGCTTTTATTTGAACAAACTTGGTAGACACCAATTAGAACATGTTTCATGCTAAATATCTTAGCTCTAGCTCTTTGGGTTCTTTAAAAGAAGATTTTTTAAGTTTTTACTATATGCATATAGGGAAAATCAATGACCCCCCGGGGTGGGGCCAATTTTGACCCCTGGGCTTTTATTTGAACAAACTTGGTAGACACTCACTAGATGATGTTTCATGCTAAATATCTTAGCTCTAGCTCTTTGGGTTCTTTAAAAGAAGATTTTTAAGTTTTTACTATATGCATATAGGGAAAATCAATGACCCCCGGGGCGGGGCCAATTTTCACCCCAAGGCTTTTATTTGAACAAACTTGGTAGACAACCATTAGAACATGTTTCATGCTAAATATCTTAGCTCTAGCTCTTTGGGTTCTTTAAAAGAAGATTTTTTAAGTTTTTACTATATGCATATAGGGAAAATCAATGACCCCCGGGGCGGGGCCAATTTTGACCAAAGGGCTTTTATTTGAACAAACTTGGTAGACACTCACTAAAAGATGTTTCATGCCAAATATCTAAGCTCTAGCTCTTATGGTTTTTTAAAAGAAGATATTTCAAGTTTTTTCTTTCGGTTGCCATGGCAACCAGAGTTTTGCATGGAATTAAATTCTTTGAACAATTTTTAAAGGTGACCACCAAAGGAACATTCCTGTGAAGTTTGGATGAAATTGGCTTAGTGGTTTATGAGGAGATGTCATTTAAAGTAAAAGTTTACGGACGGAAGACGGACGGACGCCGGACGAAAAGCGATCACAAAAGCTCACCCTGTCACTTTGTGACAGGTGAGCTAAAAATAGCTATATTAGGTAAAATAATTTCAATAGTGTCAAGAAACATTTAAACTACATGTAGCTAGATCTTACCATTTTTAAATGCCAAGAACTCAAACACACTATGTACGATGGAAACTATTATAGTGAGAGCCAACAAATACGGGTTAGTCTCCAAAAATGCTGTCTGAAAAAAAATAGCAATAAGGTTATACAACAAAATATATGATATATTCTTAGTTAGATATAAATCACATATTAACTTAAAGGAACAAAATGAAATGATATTTTATGTACAATTTCTGCATGAAACTGTAAAATAAAACTGTTGTCTCAAAATCACCCATTTCCTCTTTGATAAAACACTAATACTTCTACTATATTGTAAGGACCTACACCCCTAGTGTAGTTGCCACTCATAGTATGACAGAGGAATCTTGTCAGAAATCACTGTGTACCTTTAGAGAATCTTGGTCCTGGTCCTCCTCGCCAACACCGCCTCCCAGCATATTGGTCCACTTATTCCTCATGCCCTGAGCTGCGTACATCTGCCAGCGCCACAGACTTATTGGTGTGTAGGTTAAGGTAAAGTTTAACATCCTGTCAAATATAACACCATGTAATACTAGGAAACAACAGCTGATCTATATGTAGATACAGAGTGTTTGGCAGACTCTGGAACTCAAGTCAAAGCCACACAAAATTTTTAAGGATTAAACCCAAATATTCAAGGGTCAGTATATTTTGAGTATCACTGATCTAAATTTATAGTTTATTTAGCAACCACATGGATAAAACACATTTCATAATGAAAAGTCAAACAAGTGCATTCAGAATTTTAACCAGTCAGAACCCGAGGTCTCGGGTCAAATGAACACCCTGTATATACATTTCTAAGAACCATCTCAACATTAGCAACCAACTCAAGCAAAGCCTTTTGTCATTATCATACAAAATAACATAATTCAATGTACACTAGCTTAACATTTCCGATGTTATAACATGCCTATGACAGAGTTTGTAATAATAAAATCAATCCTTGTTCATTTGAGCTCAATAAATGATCTAAGAGATGAAGATATAAAAATCTTACTGTATAGTATCATTGATGGGCTGATATTCACTGTTGAGGTTCCAGTAGTCATTGAAGTAGAGAACTGGTCTATACTTGGCATGTCCTGGCACAAACTCTACATCTATAATAATTACAGGTGAATTATACCCATGTACATAATAACCGACACATTTTAAGAGAACAAGAAAAAACGTTCACAGAAGAAATACATGTATTTACACAATAAAAACACATGCATTTGGCAGAATATAATGCTCACTGTTATTTCAAGTACTGTAAATACATATATATTGAATTTCAATATTTATTTGAACTCAATATTAAAGTCATCAAGATAGACTTATACAAATAAATAGTGCTATAATCATACCCTCAAAATAGATCAGATCAGATTCATCAGTTTTCTTAATAATAAAACAGGTAAATTTTCAGAATAGCCAAACTTTAAATACTTTGCTTACAGTCAAATTAATAAACTTACATTCATCCAAGGGAGCTGGTATATGACCTTTAACCCATGATGTATGATCATCCAAAAAGTTGATGGTTAAATTTGGATGCCAGTGAGACAATATCTCAAACTCTGAAGAGTTTGGTTTCTGAAATACAAATACATGTAAAATATTGACAGGCCTAGGGTAAAAGTTAAGATGCTCTTTAATAATCAATACATATGTACCAATGAAACATTAGGATATTATTCTTTCACCAATGGAATTCCTGATGAAAAAAAATCTGGATTTTTTTTTATTAAAGCTGGGCTCTCGATTGACATGGGTATTCAGGTTTTGACTGGTGAAAATAAAAAAATGCACACATTTGACCCATTATAAAATCAGCACAAGAGTCAATTTGCCACACAGGAATTTTAAACTATGTATATAGCAGCATTAATTATTACCCTCAATCCACTCCTAGTTACCTATCAAATGCTACATATATGTTCAAATCTGACTAATTAAAAATGTGAACAGACAGTTTAGCTTGTATAAAGTGCTTTACACATGGCATATTTATAGCCTGTGCACTGGAACACGATCTTAGTCTGGCAGATATAACGAGACATTACCTTGATTAAATCTGGATGAACTTCTGTTTCTCCTGTCAGTAAATTCTTTGTCTCCAGAAATCGCCTTTTCTTGAACTTATTCAATTCTATTAAATCAATCAAATACTACAATTAATATACTGAATCTGAATATTTTCACATTTAGAAGCTCTTTTATCAGAAACTTTAATGAAAAAGTATAAAATATTATATATCTAATAAGAAAACTTTATTTATACTCAATGAACAAATCTATAGAATTCTACTTATATAATAATACAAACTTACTTTCCTTTAGACTTGAAAAAAAAAATTCTTTGTATGTATAAATTCCCTTAAGAGTAACTGTATACTTTGTTAAACAACAATGAGTTGAAGTAAAGTATTTGAAGAATCCCAAAGATGGTACGTCATGTACATGTATCTAGCTACTTTGTTTATAATTTTATACAGAAAAAGATGCTTCTGAGTGTTTAAAAGTCCAAAATTGAGGAATAATCCTTCCACTCATGTGAATGGAGATTTTCTATAAAAATAATGTTCACTTACGCATTGAACGGTATACAATGTCTCGCTTGCTGTAACGCTCCTTCATTTTAGGGTCAGGTGAATTACCTTCCTTTACAACATACACGTGAATGTATATTGAACCATTATTCTGTACAGCCTGAAATCATAAATTATACTTCAACTTTCCAGTTTCTCAAGCTTGGTATGAAAATTTTCCTGTTGCAATGAATCATCACTCATTATTTCCAAATTATGATTTATGATTTAAAAGAATTTCACCAGCCAATACCAGCAGATTAGAAAAAATATATTTAGATGTTAATATTGGGATCAAAAAGACATAATAGATTATATAACTTTGCCATGTTCACCCTTTGCTATGCAGACAATGCTTGAATATAAACACACATCCAAGAGCCTTAACGGCAAAACTTGCAAATAAATAATTACATATCATCAATACCATATCTTTATATACAGTATACTGTATACTAATTCAAATGATTACCTTAGATGCTGGTATACTTCCAGAGAATTCATGTGTACCATCTTTGTTTGGTCCTGACTCCCAGTCACCATAAATTAATCCCTTTTTTGCCCAGAATAGTTCAGATTCATCAAAATCTTTCATTTCTTCATTCTCAGACACATACACATACATATCCTGAAATAACATAACATGATGCAGTGAATGAAAAAACACCTTAGAATACTTGTAATTGCACATGGTTTTATCTAAACCAAACACAAACAAAGCGAAAAATTTATGTATAATTTACATGGAGTCATATCAGTGTTAAGTATATCAGTGTTGAGCAGGGTTTTACATCTCTTTGATATTTTAGGGGTCCAGTGGATGCACAGCCTAGAAATGTAGGGGTCCAGGCCTATATTTTAGGGGTCCAAAATTATATTCACTGAATAAGACTATGAAGACCACTCAATTTTGCTCAAAATCATTTATTTACCCTGTAAGAAATATGCATGTATATTGTACTGTTTTCATAAGTAACACATGATTTTAATATCTGTTATCACTTTTAAATAAGTTTGGTTTTTATTATAGCCCTTTACAATAATATCATGTGCTATTTCACAGGCTTAAATATAGTCTTTGAGTGGCTGGAATATCATGCTTTATTTAGTAGCATATTTTGTGATTGATAAGGTGATTACACTAACAAGACTGAAAACTGTTCTGATCAGTAAGGCCATCCTTAAAAAAATGTTCGTTTGCAGTAACGCGACCGACTCACAAAATTTGCCCCTACTCAAATTTTTTTTCATGGTCAGGATAAAAATTCTTTTTTTTTTTTAATCAGAAAATTATGCCTTGTGCTTTGTTTTCGTTCTTTAAAAGGTTAATAGAAGAAATAAAATGTAGGTCTTATTAAATTAGAATTCAGTTATCAATTTATTAATTGTTACCAGATAAACAAAGCATATATTGTCCAGCATTTTGAAATTCAATGTTTATTTGGAAGTACAGTTCAATAAAAAAAAAAAAACAAGAGCCCGGTTTGAGCCGGGTGATGCTCCCCGAATAGGTTTTGGACACAGGAAAGTACACCTCTTGTAGTTTTCTGAGTTATGTCCCTGGAAAAAGTTCAAAGTGCAATAATTACAAAATTAGGAAAGGCAGAGTTACTGTTCTTTGCACTGCACTTCTAATCACTGTTATCTATCAACTTACAAAGTTTCTTGTTTATATCTCTTATGGTTTCCGAGTTATGTTCCGGACAACTTCAAAAAGTAAAAATAAACAAATGGCAATAACTCCAGAATTAGGCAAGGCAGAGTTATGATTCTCATGCACTGCACATCTACCCATTGAGATACATCTACCTACAAAGTTTCATGTTGATATCTCTTATAGTTTTACAGCTATGTCCAGTACAAGATTTTTCTAAAAGGGGAGATAATTCAAAAATGAGGCTTAACAGAGTTATGTTTTTTTTTTGCACTGCACTTCTACTCAATGAGATCTATCTACCTACAATGTTTCATCTTGATATCTCTTATAATTTTAGAGTTATGTTCCGGACAATGTTTAGTGTTAAAATTAACAAAGGACAATAACTCCAAAATTAGGACAAAAAGAGTTATTGTTCTTATGCACTGCACATCTACCCATTGAGATCTATTCACCTACAAAGTTTCATGTTGATATCTCTAATAGATTTAGAGTTATGCCCCGGACAAGATTTTTCTATAAGGGGAGATGATTAAAAAATGAGGCTTAACAGAGTTATGGTTCTTTTGCACTGCACTTCTACTCAATGAGATCTATCTACCTACACTGTTTCATCTTGATATCTCTTATAGTTTTAGAGTTATGTTCCGGACAAAGTTCAAAGTGTTGAAATTAACAAAGGGCAATAACTCCAAAATTAGGACAAAAAGAGTTATTGTTCTTATGCACTGCACATCTTTCCACTGAGATCTATTCACCTACAAAGTTTCATGTTGATATCTCTTATAATTTTAGAGTTATGCCCCGGACAAGATTTTTCTATAAGGGGAGATGATTAAAAAATGAGGCTTTACAGAGTTATGATTCTTTTGCACTGCACATCTACTCAATGAGATCTATCTACCTACAATGTTTCATCTTGATATCTCTTATAGTTTTAGAGTTATGTTCCGGACAAAGTTCAAAGTGTTGAAATTAACAAAGGGCATAACTCCAAAATTAGGACAAAAAGAGTTATTGTTCTTATGTACTGCACATCTACCCACTGAGATCTATTCACCTACAAAGTTTCATGTTGATATCTCTTATAGTTTTAGAGTTATGCCCCGGACAAGATTTTTCTATAAGGGGAGATAATTCAAAAAACCGGGCAGAATAGAGTTATGGTTCTTTGACACTGCACTCCCCCTCAATGCCCTCTACCACTGTATGAAGTTTAATTAAATTATCTCCAAGGGTTTTCAAGTTATGCTCCGGACAAGAAAACGGACGGACAGACGGAGGGACGGACAGACGGACGGACGGACGGACAAGGCGCCGACTATATGCTCCCCCGAAATTTTTCGGGGAGCATAAAAATCGACCTACCTACCCAGCTTGAAAATTCTGGGTCGGGTTACTGCAAACAAACATTTTTTTAAGGATGGCCTAACTGTAAATATTTTAGCTGTGCTAGTAAACACACAAATATGTTGCGTTTTTAAAAAATATCATATGTAAACACAAGGCCTACGAAACCGCTTTTGCACCTCCTCATAAATTAAGTTTGCCGAAACCATTATATTTATTACACCAACGATAAATTTGACTTAATTTCTTTAAAACTTTAAAAATAAGTTTGCAAAAACCACAGCCTTTTTTATTATACAAAATTCATTCGCCAAACCAGTAGATTGACATTGGATACGCTAACCAATAGTAATTGCCTATTGTAAATAGTCTGTCTAAATATAGCCAAAGAAAAACCAAAAACAGCCACCTAAAATAGATTTTACAGTAAACATCATCATTTACTGTAGCTTGCATCATCAGTTTTTGCAGCAGGCACTTGCCAATAGCATGCACAGTAGATTTCAATTATGTTAACTTCAGAAATGAACAAATGCGAGCATTTTCTGCTCGCTGTATTAGATTTTAACTGTATTTTGCGAGCTTCGAGAAGAGATAAAATCATATCAGGTCAGAAACAATAATATCTATTGTCTAGGATTATTTTTGTGCGTACACTTGGACGCAAGTGGATAACTTATATGCATACACGTCAAAATTTATGCGTATAGGGACGCAGAATTCTGTGTCCCGTAAAAACCTGGATAAGTAAGTCTCTGTTATTTACTGGTATTACTACAGACAGCTGCCTCATTAAGTATAGCTCCACTAAGGTCAAGCCTAAAAAGAATTAATTTGAAATGATAACGTAGATCAAGTGAAGCACCTAAAATGGAAAATTTTGCAAGGATAATAATTAATAAATAAATATTCTCAAAATTAGACCGAATATCATTAAACAAATTTTTTTGTGGGATTCTTAGTCATATTTGAGTTTTTGACTGGGAAGGGCTTAATCTAATGTTGTACAAACTTGTTGCCCAACCCATTTGAATTTTGATATATACTCATTATATGTATAATATGTATTTAATGCAATAAAATATGTTTAAACGAAAATTTGAGTTTTTTTGAGTAACCAATCTTTGCACAATAAAAATGATATTCTGGAAAAAAAATGGGCTTACAGAATGATGTGAAAATTTGCATAAAAGTTATTGATCAAGATATAAAAATAACAAATGGTTAACAAATCCTGAAAAAATATTTCCAGTCTTATCATGCCAAATTTCTTCAGTAGTGTCTCTTTAAGTTTTGAATTAAAGAAATATTTCTTTTCTGTTCTATTCTAGCAGTCCAAGGTCTGTCTTGCAACATAATCATATGTAAAAATATGCTGGATAAAACAAAAATCTTTTGTACCATGAATGTGCCTTTTTCAAACAAATTGGTAGTATAGATGTATGATCCCTGAGCCTGAGGTGATGTCCCATCAGTAGTTGCAGGTGTTGCTGGTGTGCTACCACGACGGAAGAAGCTACTGATCATGTATATAATAGCCATTCTAATCACAAGACCTTTAAGTATGCCAAAAAATCCCTGCTGTGGTTGCTGCTGTTGCTGACCCTAAATAAATAAACATTACAAATTTATAAGATTTACATAATTATATATACAAATTTATGCAATGAATGCATAAAATATATTATAATAGTTTATACAGAATGTATTTCAGTTTCACTGTGTAGGAACTGTAAGTTTATAGATGCACTCTAGAACCAACAAGTACTAAGTCGTAGCAGTAACCATAAATTTCCTTGCTTAAGAAAACAATGACTTGCCCCCGATAGGATTTGTATTTAATCTATTTATATATTCAGTATTCTCTATAGATAAGTTAAGATAACTAGTCTTATAGGTTATCCATTCTGCTGTACAGCCTCATATTAAAATTAATGCTCTCATCACTTGAGCACTGTTGAGGATAGCCTGGGTTCCAGTCTGTTGATTTTTTATGTGGTTCTGTTCAGCAAATTAAAAGCCTGGGGAAATAAATTTTCGATTGAAGGGCCAGAAAATTACACCTAAGAAACTGAAAAAAGGATATGTTATATGAGAGGAATAAGTGATATGAAAAGCTATGACTTTAGTATCACATGCATGCATTGTTTCATATACTTTGTTATCACTTCAATATGTAAATAATAAATTAACATCATAAACAAATTATTTTCATTTTTATTTAGATAATCATAGTGTGAACCTTGATGAATATGAGCACCTGCGCATGAAAAAGATAGTGGTCAGTATGGTCTATAAGCCTTAAATTGGCTTTTGCCCAACCAGTTTGATCTTGATGGGTGGGGGGCTTTTGTTCTACCTGTATTTTTAAAGGGGGGGGGGCTTTCGTCCAATGTGTACATTTCATGAGGGGGGAGGGGTCTTTTGTCCACCATATCATTTTAAGATGGGGGGCTTTGTCCGGGGGAGGGGGCTTTTGGTCCAACACTCGTAAAAAATATCAATAAAATTAGACTACAAAATAATTTTGTGCACACGTGATTTTCATGATTTTAATGAATTTATTTAACGCGAGTATACGTCATACAGTGGGACGATGTTTGTACTGCGATGAAATGTTGATGATTTTTGATCTCCTTAATTGATTTAACTCACTTGTTGGGTACCATCACCGGTAGTTGCGGCAGCATTACCGTTCGCAGTTTGTACTACATTAGTCGCCCCACTGTTGTCGGCCATGATTTTTCTATATTAATCTCTACTTTTTACGAAACAAAAATATTAAGAAATGCATTTAATTTATTTGTCAAAGAGTGGAAAGAAAGAAAGAAAAAATATTTTAGAATTACAATGTATGTCATATTTTATATATATTTTATTGATTCTTAATTGATTTAATTCTCTCTTCGATTAGAGACTTCAACGCAAAATGCATTCAAGATGGCGGGATTTCGTGAAGCAAAACAACACTTTCCGTTGCAGAAAATTCAAGATGTTGTGGACTTATTTAAAGACCAGTTAGAACGAGTAGATGAAATTGATTTAAGCTTGCTTTCAATTGTTTTAGGGACTATAGAAAATGCGCTGACAATTAATAGATCACACGCATTAAACAGAGAAAATGACTCAAAACTTCAGCCGATTTTCCCTATCATTGAGTGGGAGACAATCGATGTTTTACGCACAAAATTTGTTACTCAGGTTAAATGTGCCGTAGACCTTTCACTGTATCCAGACAAATTTGCGACAAGGGAATTGGTGAAGAAAGTTTCGGATGTCATCTGGGGAGGGTTGACAAGAGCTTTTTACAAGGACAGGGCACATCTGCAATCTCTGTTTAGTTTCTTGACAGGTAACTTATATTTCAATGCTTCAGACAAAACTAACTGAATATCAAATAAATTTAGTTTTCTCTTAAGAATTTAGAGTCTTTACTCATAGTTCATGTTACACACAAATTTATATGTTGACACTCCCTTTTGTGTACTTTTGCAGGGAAAAGAGTCAACTCGGCCCTATACCAACTCGGCACGGGTCAACTCGGCACGGGTCAACTCGGCCCCCTTAACAAAATATATATAACGTATTAACTTTGCTTTGCATGTTGTTACCGTAAATGAATAATAAGAAATATCTTCTTATTATATAATTATACATTGTACTTCTGCCGAAATAAAGTATATTTAGATAAAAAAATGTTATTTATTTGTCTTATATTTATAAACTCTCTCTCTGTTGAACTACGTAAACTAGGGCATATCGAGTGAAAAAAGCAAAAGTTGTTATCCTTAGTTTCCCTTCGCTTGCAAAAGAATGCAAATTTAGCCGTGTTTAAATCGCTAGTTTGGGGCGATTAAATGTCCGATTTTAAAATTTGTTACACCAATTAAAAGCTGGTGATCTTAGCTTCCTCTCAGTATATATTTCAACACATTGTTTGACACTGAATGTATTTAAATTTACGGTTAAACCTACCACGAGTCAGAAATACACTGAGATAGATTGATTGATTGATTTTCTTTAGACTGGGCGGTCAAGGATAACCTACGATACGCAATCGGTAATCTTTACTCGCAATTCTATTGATAAGAAAAGCCTCTGAAACTGTCAATCCGTGTTTTATAAATAATTTCATAATTACAATAAATAGTGATAACACAAACCTTATTAATAATAATTAAAAAGTTGGCCGAGTTGACCCGTGCCGAGTTGGAATAGGGCCGAGCTGACTCGGGGGCCGAGTACGTTTTAGGGCCGAGCTGACCCGGATTCCTTTTGCAGTGCCTAGTTTTCCCTTCTGTCTAACACCTGAAATTGAGGATGTATTTCTGTCTAACACCTAAAATTGAGGATGTATTTAGTGGGGTTTTTACTTAAAATTTGACTGATGCTGCAATGTGTGGTATTAATTTAGGGTATTGTCAACTCATCAGTGTTCCCACTTCTATTTTTCATTTGGGGTAGTTTTACCCCTTACCTTTGAAAACTGGGGGTAAAATAAAATTTCAGGGGGTACATAAATTTGTACAATAATTATATGAAATAAAAGAATAATTCCAAATCCATACATCAGACAATTATGCTGCTGTTTTCTTCACGATTCCCTCCAACCCCCCACCCAGTTAAAATTAATTGTGACCAACACATTCTGGCATATATCACCATCTCAATTAATGTAACTATTTTTAAGATATTTTAATTCATAAACAGCATATAAATTGTTACTACACACCTTTGAACAAAACAAAGCTTCCTTTTTGGTGATATTTTTAATTAACAAAATCGGCATCGCGAAAATATGTGACAAATGAAAATTTGTCTGTTTTCTGCAGAAACATTCACAAATCCAGTTGTTGCTGATTACAATTATATAAGAATTAATATTTTTTTAATATTTCAAGATTTTTTTTCATCGGCTATTCTTACAGGCATCGTAAAACAAAAATTTCAAATTTGTAATTTACGGCAATAATGCCAGTGGGGGGTCTGTAAACTTCATTGTGAATTGGGAGAATTTCTCACATTTCATCAATTTCAATGCACTTTAAGTAATTTTTGTTTTAGAAATTGCTCAAAAAAACTAATTTTTGAATTATACATGATTAAGTTTACGACTTTCTGTGCGTATTTTTACCCTCTTGCCAAAATTTCTGTACGTGAATTTTGTTATTTATGCGTAAAATACGCACATATGTGCGTAAATGGGAACATTGCTCATTCAGAAATTCAGAAGGATGGGTACTGAAGATCAAAAAAAAAAAAAATAATTACAGAGCCACACATCATTAATTAGTGACTGAAAAAATTTACTTGTTTTGCATGTTATAGTATACTGGTGCCTCATATTTACGTGGTACTTAACTGTTTAACTAAGACAACAAAAGTAAGAAGAATAAAATTCGGGAAAATACATTTAATATTGTAGCAAAGACATGTCAGTTACATCATAGTTTATTCCATTTAATGCTTGCATACATGTAAACTATTATGTGCACAACATGGCAATTAACACCTATCTGCTGCCTAGCTAGTGAGTAAAGTTGTGTTCTCATATTTCCAAGGCAATTACATTTTAACAGCTTCAAAAGCAAAACCAATAGTAATCTTTATTTTTTAGTTCATCTATTCCTATCCCTGTCTGAATGTTGGTATTTTCTCTATGGCATTTATCAAATATCTCAATGGTTGTTTAACCCTTTACCACATATATACGCGAAACAACGCACTTTCGACCCCCCCCCCCCCTTTTTGGGGCCTCAAATAGTGAAAAAATGTCCTATTTGGGCCCTAAACATAAGTTTTCGTTTGAGAAATGTTGCTAAAAAAATTGAGCACTTTTTCGGCGCCGCCCCCCATCCAAAAGATACATCAGGGGGTTGCCAGAAGGGGGATGTGCCCCCTTCTGTTAGGGGGGTTTGAAGGGGGGCGGAGTCCCCCTCATCGCCAAGAAAATTTTGGGCTTGTGAGAGGCTAAAAATGACCCCAGGTCGACCATAATGTAACGTTTAACAAACGCTGAAAAGCCTTTGACTCTATCTCAATCCCTTGAGAAGTTGCAGCACTTTGAAATAAATTTTGATGGAAAAAAATCGAGGCAAAATAGTGATTTTTGGCAATTTTGAGATGTCCCCTCGTTGCCATGGTAACAGGAAATTTAAGACTGAGCATGTCGTTACAAAGGCAATGGTCCAGTCAACATTTGTGCCAAGTTTGATTAGTATTGAAGCATTTTTTCAGAGTTTCATAGCAGTTTGAACTTGTAACAGGAGGCTTTTCAGTGAAAACGGCCATTTTTCACAATATGCTCATGGGGGAAAGGGTTAACTAAAAAAAATATAAATGTTACAAAACAACAATTTTTCACCAAAATTAGGTGAAAGACCACATGTTAACATGGAAAAACTAGTTTTTAGGTGATTCCAAAGTTTTTCATCATTTTTTGTTAACCCTTTACCACATATATACGCGAAACAACGCACTTTCGACCCCCCCCCCTTTTTGGGGCCTCAAATAGTGAAAAAATGTCCTATTTGGGCCCTAAACATAAGTTTTCGTTTGAGAAATGTTGCTAAAAAAATTGAGCACTTTTTCGGCGCGCCGCCCCCCATCCAAAAGATACATCAGGGGGTTGCCAGAAGGGGGATGTGCCCCCTTCTGTTAGGGGGTTTGAAGGGGGGCGGAGTCCCCCTCATCGCCAAGAAAATTTTGGGCTTGTGAGAGGCTTAAAATGACCCCAGGTCGACCATAATGTAACGTTTAACAAACGCTGAAAAGCCTTTGACTCTATCTCAATCCCTTGAGAAGTTGCAGCACTTTGAAATAAATTTTGATGGAAAAAATCGAGGCAAAATAGTGATTTTTGGCAATTTTGAGATGTCCCCTCGTTGCCATGGTAACAGGAAATTTAAGACTGAGCATGTTGTTACAAAGGCAATGGTCCAGTCAACATTTGTGCCAAGTTTGATTAGTATTGAAGCATTTTTCAGAGTTTCATAGCAGTTTGAACTTGTAACAGGAGGCTTTTCAGTGAAAACGGCCATTTTTCACAATATGCTCATGGGGGAAAGGGTTAACAAAGACAATTGTCTTAAATGTATGAAAACTAAAAGTAAACTAGTGAAATAGTTTTCTTTCTCTTAATCTGAATAAAATGATAAGTTTTCTCAGTTGTATATGTTACATTTCAATAAAAATAGAATAAGAAAGTGAAAGTTAAACTAAACTCCTGGCTGGTGCATGAAGTCTATGAGACACTTGAGACTGTCACTGTTTATGCCTAATACCTTGGAAATATGGGTACCACAGAAATATGAGGCACCAGTATACTTATCCTTCATTTCATGCAAGATCTAAAAGATTACCTGTGCAGCTTTAATGTGACTTTTGTAAATGTTAATACTTTTTTAATGAATAATTATCAAATATTCTCATTTACTTATTGAATACAGGTAACTTAAAGACTACTGAATAACCTCAGTGTTTTTGTCATGTAGTTTTGGTGCCCAAATAGGGCCCATGGGGCCCACTGACAAAGCCAAAACATACTATTTTTCAATTTATTAATGAAAATTCACAATTGTCAAATTGTAGTCATTTGACAGAATTGTGTCACATGAGAAACAGTGACATTATACTGTGAGACATATTTAAGTTTATTAAGTATGAAAGTAAGTACACATGTAAGTAGCTAGCACATTCGGTTTCCCATTCTTCTATGTACATATACATTACATACAATGTAACATAAATTATATACAGTCACATTTATTTCAATAAGGCATTTATCATGAGTGATGAATCAAAATATTTACCAGCATATGATTAAAAGTTTTTTTTCACATTAAATAGCTAAATTAAAACAGTGTAAAATAGGACAATATTCACTACAATAATGCCATTAAAGTGCTAATTTTCACAATTCAAGGAGCCCAGACCAATTTACAAAAGACTAGAAAAAGACACAGTATATGTTTTTATTGAGGAAGGAAAAAGGGTAACCTGATATTTTAGGGTAGTTATAAAACAGGCACTTTGTAAACTCCTGCATGGATTTCTTTTGAAACTTTAATATTTTATCTGAGATCAAATTATGAATTATGAAATTGAAATATTTTTCAGGAAATAAATTAGATTGTTTTGGTGTAGCATTTGCTGTTGTGGCAGCATTTCAAGTCCTTGGTTATAATGATGTGCATCTTGCTCTGTCAGAAGATCATGCTTGGGTCGTGTTTGGGGAAAATCAAGAACTTTCAGCTGAGGTTACATGGCATGGTAAATGTTTCTTTATTTACTTTTCCTTGCTATCTTAAGATGTTTTTGCATATTGACTTGACCACATTAAGATATTTTTGCCCTGTATCATAATTCTGGGCATTCATGGTGTTTAAGGTTGCCAACTTGAATCTCTTGCTCATCACCACTGTGGGTGCCAATTCTGTTAGGGTCTATGGATTGTTTCATATGTTGAAGCCTTCCAGGTAGCTTACAGAAAGTTGGTGGTTCTACTTGGGTGCCCAGTTATGCCAGAAAAAATGGGCTCCTGAGGTATTGTTACACAAGTAAATCTTGAATGTCCCGATATGATCTTTGTAGTGTTATTGTGACAAACAAAAACAATGTATCAGGATTCATTATCATATTGCTTTCCTTTATCATTTTGAACATGTTTTATAGCATGATTTATAGCATAAGCATTTCAGCATTCTACAGTATGTCAATACTGACACATTTTTCTTATAATTATATGATACAAATTAATGTTTATTTTCTTTATATTTATCTCAAAATGTGATTTTTAGCTCGACTATTCGAAGAATATGAGAGCTATTGTAGCCGCCCCGGTGTCGGCGTCCGCGTCAGCATCTGCGTTGGTTAAAGTTTTTTGTAAAGTCAAATATCTCAATTATTGCTTGAGATATTTAATTGAAACTTACAATACTTATTTATAGTAACAAAGTACATCAGATTGACAAGTTGGATAACTCTTACCTACAATATTGACAGAATTATGCCCCTTTTTAACTTAGAAATTTTGGTTAAAGTTTTTTGTAAAGACAAATATCTCAATTATTGTTTGAGATATTCAATTGAAACTTACAATACTTATTCATAGTAACAAGGTACATCAGATTGACAAGTTGGATAACTCTTACCGACAATATTGACAGAATTATGCCCCTTTTTTAACTTAGAAATTTTGGTTAAAGTTTTTTGTAAAGACAAATATCTCAATTATTGTTTGAGATATTCAATTGAAACTTACAATACTTATTCATAGTAACAAGGTTCATCAGATTGACAAGTTGGATAACTCTGCCTACAATATTGACAGAATTATGCCCCTTTGAAACTTAGAAATTTTGGTTAAAGTTTTTTTGTAAAGTGAAATATCTCAATTATTGCTTGAGATATTCAATTGGAATTTACAATACTTTTTTTATAGTAACAATGTACATCATTTTGCAAAATTGCATAACTCTGTCTGCAATATTTGCAGAATTATTTGCCCCTTTGAAACTTAGAGATTTTGGTTAAAGGTTAAAGGTCTTCAAAGATATTTACTTGAAACTTTACACATGTACTTAGGGTAATAATTTGAGGGTCATAATTGTATGTCACTGACCAAGTTCCATAACTCTATCTTGCATTAAGGCTGATTCATATCCCCTTTTCTACTTAGTCTCTTGGTTAATGTTTACATGCAAGTTTTACATATCTCAATAACTATTAAAGATATTTATTTAAAACTTCACATATGCATTTAGGGTCAGAATTGTAGGTCACTGACAAAGATCCATAATTCTATCTTGCATTTAGGCTGATTTTTCTTCCCTTTTTCAACTTAAAAATTCATGGTAAAGTTTTGCTTGTAAGCTGTTATCTCCATAACTACTGAAGGGTTTGTGCCTTTTTTGGGACAATTTTATGCATTCATAATAATAAAGCAGTGATTTACTTGATAAAACATCTTAATAACAAGCCTTTGTACCTTTTCTGTCAATTTTATGTATTCATAGGTAATTAGTAGTATTATTATACTCAATAAAACACCCTTGTGACATTACCTTCCAAATAGTCAAGCCAATACTGTATAATTAGACTCTCTCTAAGGCCTATAACATAAATTTATAAAAATAAATTAGCCCTTTTGTGAACTTAGAAAATTTAACATTATCAAGGCTCTTTTACTATCAAGCACTTAGAATAGTCGAGCGTGCTGTCCTACCGACAGCTCTTGTATATTAAAAAATGCCTTAAAAAAAACTCATGAAAGAATGGAAATGAATGCAATGCCTGGTTTAGTATGGATTATTTTTTTTTTAATTTTGGCAATATAGAGACAGTAATAAATTTAATATGAGGTGTCTATAAATGTTTAGAAGAAAGAAAATACATTGACAATCTTTGAACAGTTCTTACACAATTCTTATTGCTGTAATGGAGGTTGTGATATAATTATATTCAGTCAAAGAATTTAGGATCACAAGCCATTAGGGCTAGTAGTTAGCAATATCTACTAGCCTGAAAAAATCCAGAATAACATACATATTAAAATACATAAATTTCATTCACAATATATTTAATGTTACAGGAAAGGGTAATGAGGATAAGAGAGGTCAACCAATCAACCAGGCAGTATCAGAGAAACATTGGTTATACTTGAATGGTCAGCCTGTTTTGTGTACTAAGGAGATGGAAGTAGCAGCAATAGTTTCAGCCATTAATCCATCCATTACAGCTACAATAGACAGTGTAGAGATGGGTTCCCTTCAGCAGGTAAGAAACTGATACGTGTAATGTCATTGAAGGCACATAATGTCTCAGAAATCCATATTCATGAACTTTTTAGAAATGTCAAACATATGTTTAAAAGCATCTAAGATGTAATTAAATAACTCAATAAAACCCCCCAAAAAATACTTGATACATTATGTTGGTCCTTAAATACACAGTTAGGAATAATGCATTCATATCAAACACTGTTCCAAGAATTTTTTATTTAACATCTTCTGTTTCAAGTAGTGACTGCCAATAACTTATTTTTGCTTGTATCATTTCCAATCAGCACATCTTCTTCCTGTTTCTAAAACTCCCTTGACATAAAGACAACAGATAATACACTTAAAATACTTGATTTAAAAAACATTTTTACAAATCTTAAAACCTTTAAGGGCTCTAACCAGACATGTTTTCAATGTCCTCTGAATAAATTTGTCAACCAGTTAATATATATTTATATATTCAGTTATTTTATTAATGTCGGAACACCATATTTTAAATGTTTTTTAAAAAGAAATAAGCCAAATAGAATAACTTCTTTGCTCTTGTAGGGAATAATACCTTTCTGATGTTTTATTGATGTTTTCAGGAACTGCTGTGGCTGTTATATGATATGGGACATCTTTCTAAGTAAGTTTACTGTATGTTGTATGCCGCCAAAAGGTGGGCATATAGTAAGTGCCTTGTCTGTCCATCTGTCAGAGTGTCTTAAACAGACTTGCGAGTCATATACTAGTAAACAGAACAAAAGAATACAAATGACTTAATTCCATGCAGTCATGACCTTTCAATGCAATAAAAAAACAAGACCCAGGTCTGTAGCTCAAAGGTCAAGGTCACGCATAGAACTCCAAATTTGAAGTATATTGTTTTTATGTCTGGTCCATAACTTTTTAGCTTGACTATTCGATAAGAATAACTTGAGCTATTGTAGTCACCCGAGCGTTGGCGTAACCACTTTTCAAAGTCCATTGACATATGGCTTTGAAACTTTACACACTTGTTCACCATCATGACCCCAACCTGTAGACAGGAGGAGGTAACTATCAAACATTTTGACAGAATTATGCCCCTTTTTAGTCCCCTACCGGTTTAACCGGAGGGGACTTTAGGTTTACCCTCCGTCCGTCTGTCCGTCTGTCTGTCTGTCCGTCTGTCTGTCTGTCAGTCTGTCAGTCCGTCAGTCCGTCCGTCCACAAAACTGGATCCCGCGATAACGCAAAAAGTACTGAAAATATTTTTATGAAACTTGATATATGGATAGATGGCAGTATGGAGATTATGCACGTCTTTTTTTTTTCTTCCTATGTTGAAAATTCTGGTTGCTATGGCAACAAATAGGCTGAAATTATGGCAAATTTAACACATAAACTGGATCCAGTGATAACTCAAAATTGCTATGGCAACAAATAGGCTGAAATTATGGCAAATTTAACACATAAACTGGATCCAGTGATAACTCAAAAAGTACTGAAAATATTTTTATGAAACTTGAAATGTGGGTAGATGGCAGTCTGGAGATTATGCACATCTTTTTCTTTTCTTCCTATGTTGAAAATTCTGGTTGCTATGGCAACAAATAGCCTGAATTTCAAGATTTCTGATTTAAATTTTTCAGCTTTTTCACTATATGTTCTTTATTTCTTAAGGTGTTTACTTCAAACTTTAAATATAAGTTTCTGGTCATCAACCACATCATATGTGACAAGGTTTATAACTCTAGCACAAAAAATATCAGTATTACCTCCCTTGAACTTAGATTTTTTAGGGGAAAAAATGTTGTCTTTTTTAAATAACTTCTTTATTTCCTAATGTATCTACTTCAAACTTCATATATATGTTTCTTATTATCACTCGACATTTTTGAGAAGGTTAAATACTCTAGCAAGACTATTTCCAGAATTATGTCCCCCTTGAACTTTAGATTTTTTTCGAGAAACTGGTATTTTCACTCCAACTTCTTCATTCCTTATAGGATTTACTTTAAAATCCCACATCGTAATAATATGACAAGGTTGTATAAACATAATTTCCTTACTAAGCATGGAAACTTAACACATTACTGTGATATAGACAAACTTATTTATTATGTTTTGTGGTTGATATTTTCAAATACAGACTTCATCCTCAAATTCATTATAAATGGCAATACACAGGAGTGTATGACAATTAAAGAACTTTTTGAGGGACCGGTAGGGGACTACTGTATTGCCCGCAATACTATCAAATGCTTGTTCTACTTAAATTTATGTTAAAGTTTTTGTAATACCTCAAATATTTTCAAGTCCATTGACATATGGCTTTGAAACTTTGCACACTTGTTCACCATCATGACCCCAACCCTTAACAGGAGGAGGTAACTGTATCAAGCATTTTGACAGAATAATGCCCCTTTTTCAACTTAGAATTTACATTTAAGTTTGCATACCACCTCAGATATTTTCATATTCTATTGACATCTGGCTTTGAAACAACTTGAAAGTTGATACCTTTCGTTGAGAGCATAATAGGACTCTCCCCAAGGCCTATAACTGTCGAGCGTTGCTGTCCTATCGACAGCTCTTGTTCATTTCTTCATGGTTTTTGAAAAAAAAATTCCACATTTCTCAGATTCTATTGTCAATGATGATCTTTAGAGGCATATGTCACATTTGCTGTAATCTATACTTGTTTTCATGTCTAAATGTCATTTATTAAATAATAATCAATAATCACCCATGTTCATTTATTGACTTGTGAAATTTGTTAACGTAGTGTGAAAACTCAATTAAAATCTTGTTTACTAGAAGCATATAAAATGTAAATGTCACTGAAGTTTTGTGACTTATTTATGAGCAATACAAAAACACTTGGGTCATCCTGTTTATGATGAGAAGAACATGTACATGGACACACGAAAGATTGATGCTAAATTTGATTAATAATCATTAAATATTTTGTTTAATCTTTTAATGATAGAAATCTAATTACCACAATTGATCTCTAATGTAATTATTATTCATCAGATATCCCATGGCTCTTGGTAACCTGGGCGACCTTGAGGAAATATGTGAGAGTCCTGGAAGGCCTCCACCTATTACACTATTTGAAGAGGGAGTACAGTCTGGTATTAAGTTTTACAATGATCAGCATATCTATCCATATACGTACCTTGGTGGACACCTGTACAGAATTGGTAACTTTAGAGAGGCTCTACAAGCATGGGCCAATGCCTCAAATGTTATTAAACAGTAAGCAACAATCTTTTTAAATCCAATTTCAAGATATGCATATAATAAATATTATATACTGGTAACTCGTGAGGTATTTCTAACAAGTGAATGTTTTCGCATCTTTGTTACTTTTTTTTAAATAAAAAAAAGTTCTGTACTTTTTTGTTATTGGGCTTTACCGCACACAGACACAGTATTGGTCGTATGGCGACATTCCAGCTTAACTAGTGGAGGAAGACCTCGGGTGCCCTTCCATGCATAATTTCAGACCGGAACGGGCCCTTGAGTAGAACCAACGCTGTTCTGTAAGGTAGCAATATAGCTTCCTCACATGAAACAATCCAAAGTCTGTAGGGATCCGAACCCACAGCAGTAAGGGACAATTGGATTGAAGTCAACAAACTTAATCACTTGGCCACGGGCACCCCAGTTCTATACCTAAAGTTAGCTGAAGAAATATTCATTGTCATAGTTTGACAAAAGATGGGTCCATAAATTGTCAATAAAATAAAACTTCATATTGTCACCTTAGTGCAGTAACTGGTTAAGTCCTTCTAAATTTAATAGGAGTTAATCAATTATTGCACTAAGGTGACAATAATTTTGTTTGAAGAAGTGTGTTAGTTATTTTGTTTGTTTTTTTAAGGTACAATTACAACAGAGAAGATGAGGAAATCTACAAGGAATTTATAGAAATCGCCAATGACTGGCTGCCGAATATTATGAGGAATATAGCAACAGAAAATGCTGCAAGACTGAAAAGAAATTCCTTATTGTATGATACAGATGCATATGCAAATTTTCTGAAGTTTTATGATGGTATCTGTAAATGGGAGGAAAACAGCCCAACACCAGTATTACATACTGTATGGGCCAAGCAGTTTGTATACTCCCTTGGAAAGTTTGATTCACGTGTCAGAAAATGCATGCAGATACATGCAGAAGGAATGGAGGATGAATCTTCTAGTTCAGACTCTAGTAGTGAGGATGAAAATCAAGAAAACTGTGATGTGAATGGGAATGGTGTAGTGAAAGATGATGTTAAAAAAAGTCGTGGTCGGAAACCGAAAGCAAAAAAGAGGAAGTTAAATGAGCAAAAACTTGGAAATGGGGTCCAAGATGGGTCAGGGGAAACAAAAGTAAATGGGAACAACGCAGAAGAACAGATCAAAAACACTATCGAGGAACTTGTTTCAAAAGTTGGTGAATCAGATAGTCAAAGGGACACACCTCCTAATCCAAATTTAGCGGCACTAGCTCAAGCTTGCAGCGAGTCAATTCTGAACCCAGATTACTTGTTGACAGGTGGCGAGCCTTTCACAACAGCTACAACCAGATCAACACCATCCTCAACAAGTGACAGGGTCAATGTGGACGTGAATGAGTTTCTAAGTTCAAAGTCAAATAGTACCCAATTTGTGGGTATGACAGTTGACTCTATGCTGAAGGCAGAAAGTCCAGCAGACATGATGATGTTTAGAAAGCCGCCAGACAGTGCGCCTTCATCAGAAGAGGTTCAAACCCCGTACACAACCCCTGAGCCAACTGAGGCAAATACAAATTCAGAGGTTGATGCTATAACGTCAGGGTGTGAAACTGGAGGGGAAGATAAGTTAAATAACAGTTTTGCGATAGTTACACCTGATCCAGTTGACCTACTTTTAGTCAGTCAAAAGATGAAAGGTTTAAGGAAATTGCTGTCATCACTTAAACTGAACTCAAGTGCAATAACGCTACAGTTAACAGCTCAGTCCCAGACCAGTTTTAAGCACAGTCGACGAGGAACTGGAGACTTTGATCTTATCCATTCGCGGAAAAGGTCAAGGCGTGAAATGTTTTGATATACAGGGTCATGATTTCTATTAGCAGCTTTTATATTGTTCATGTATATATTGTTATAAGTTTGTTAGCAGAGTGTAAATGGTTACTTGCACTGGACAGGAGGGGGGCGGGGGTTAGTACTATTGCAGAAGCCAGGAAAAATTATGAACTTACATATAAAAAAAAAGAAACACGCAAAGACAAACTGCATGTATGTGCAAATAAAGGGGAGTCCTTGCCAGGATTTATTATGAACATAAGTCACTAATATGTGCCATTTTTAGCTCACCTGTCACAAAGTGACAGGGTGAGCTTTTGTGATCGCTTTTCGTCCGGCATCCGTCCGTCGTCCATCCGTCCGGCGTCCGTAAACTTTTACTTTAAATGACATCTCCTCATAAACCGCTGAGCCAATTTCATCCAAACTTCACAGGAATGTTCCTTTGGTGGTCACCTTTAAAAATTGTTCAAAGAATTAAATTCCATGAAGAAATCTGGTTGCCATGGTAACCGATAGAAAAAACTTAAAATATCTTCTTATAAAAAACCCAAAGAGGTAGAGCTTAGATATTTGGCATGAAACATCTTCTAGTGAGTGTCTATCAAGTTTGTTCAAATAAAAGCCCTAGGTTAAAATTGGCCCCGCCCCGGGGGTCATTGTTTTTCCCTATATGCATATAGTTAAAACTTAAAATATCTTCTTTTAAAGAACCCAAAGAGCTAGAGCTAAGATATGTAGCATGAAACATCTTCTAATGGGTGTCTACCAAGTTTGTTCAAATAGAAGCCCTTGGGTCAAAATTGGCCCTGCCCCGGGGGACATTGATTTTCCTTATATGTGTATAACAAAAACTTAAAAAATCTTCTTTGAAAAAAACCAAATAGCTAAGGTTTAGATATTAAGCATGAAACATCTTCTAGTGAGTGTCTTCAAAGTTTGTTAAAAAAAAAAGCCCTGGGGGCAAAACTGGCCTTGCCCTAGGGGTGTCATTGCTTTGAACTATATGTGTATAGTTAAAACTTAAAAAATCATTTTTTAAAAGACTCAACGAGCTTAAGACCTTAGATGTTTAGCATGAAACATCTTGTAATGAGTGTCTACCAAGTTTGTTCAAATAAAAGCCCTGGGGTTTAAACTGGCCCCACTCTGGGGGCCTATATACAGGTGAGCGACTTCAGGGCCGTTTAAGTCTTTGTCTTTCTTTTTAATCTGTTTTATGAATGAAGACAAAGTCCTGTTGTTTTTTGTTTTTTTATGCTCCCTAAATAAAGGGGCAGGGGAGTATACTGAGATGAAGAGATCCTTTCTTTCTTGAGAAAGTATAAGCTGTGGTTTAATTAACTTGGTATGAACATTAAGCATGGCCAGTAGAATAATCTGTCTCGACTTTGAGGTAATTAGGTCAAAGGTAAAGGTCATAGTGACACTTTGAAACTATTGTCTTATCAATAAGTTGAGACATAATAATGAGTAAGTTTGTGCAACTTGGTATGGACATTCCTCAGTTAAAGGTTAGTGAAACTTAAAAATTATATTTATATATTACTTAATAATATAACTCTTGCCTTTATGAAATATGCTTAAGTATATAAATATGCCACTGTTACAGGCAAAAAAGAATAGGGGCATATTTCTAGTTTCTGTTTAAAACAGTTCATATATGAGAAAATCTAAGATTACTGAAGTAGGGGTCAAACCTAGATATAGTAGTCCCAACAAATATTAAGATACAGGGTAGTTTTAAAAAAAAAATTACTGAACAATTTGTAAATATTCACTATTAACTACCTACATGTGCTATAATTATGTATATTAATCGTATCACATTGTATGTGATATGAGATAATAATCGTTAAGAGTTAATTAATTTTTCATGTTTAATTGAATTTAATTGTTCTTTTATATCTCCACTCTGCTTTATTCTTGTAAGGGGACCAGCCCTTAATTTGGAAAATGGCATTAATAGTCTTAGGGATATCAGTATTAAAATACTAATGTTGTGCAACAATACCTAAGACTATATGGAAAGGTGTGTTACCATAATCACCAGAGAAAAGGTTAGATAATTCATGCAGATATTTGTTGTAAAAATCTGTTTCTTTTAAATTATTCTTTAGTCTTAGATTTAAGAGGGGGAAACAAAGATGGTAGTTTCAAGATGAGCTGTGTATGTATGTTGAAAACTTCTTGTAAAGGGAATGTGTTTATGATATACTTTTAGTGTGACCTTTATGTATGGTAGTGTAAAAAGTAGATGAATGTTTTATAAAAGCGGACTGAGTGGGGGTCATTAGCGATCTGTGTGATAGATTGAATGTTTGTGAATGTCCGTCCATCCTAATGTTTTATTCAATGCCATTTTTCTTGAATTTATGGATGATTCTCTGTATTTTAAGACAAATGAATGCAAGTCTCTGTAAAAAAAATTTCTTTGTTATTGTTTTTTTGTAAATCCGAGGTAGATTGAATGAGTCTGGTGTAAAATTGTATTTGTTATAACTTTTGTCTGGATTTTAATGAATGGTAACAAGATGTTCAACAAGTTGATTATAATTTTGTCTGTACTGAATCATTTAAGTGTTGATTGGTTAAGCATGAATGGTTTAGAGATAACTGAATGTTATTTCTTTAAACAAGGCCTTAATAATATGAGAATATAGAATCTCTGTTGGTGCAATTTCATTTTTCTTTTTTAATTGTATATATAGTTGTTCTATGTATATTTTGATTTCAAAATGTATTTCATGTTGTTTTTACCTTGTCTGTTTCGAAGAAATAGACAAGCTATTATGATTGCTGTGGCGTCATTTGCATTGTCGTGCTAAAACTTTACTCAAACAATTTTAAAGGTATCAATATGAAATTTGACATAAAGCTTGAAATACTTGTTTGCTAAGGCAAAGGCACAGTTGAGAGACAAGAGGCGTTATTCTGAATGCTTTATTTTTAGATTTATGCCCTCTTTTAAAGTTATAATATTTAACAAAATTTATTATTTATTGTTGTTCCTATTTACAGATGAGCGTTAACACTGCATGCAGTGCTCTTGTTTTATCAAGTTATGTAACTGGTGATAAACTAGTGACTGCTACAGGTTAACTCCCTTGGCAGTATTTATCAGTATTTTATGTCAGAAATGCTCACTGTATTGAATGAAGCTATTTACTGCAGAATTTAATGTTGATGCTTCCCATTTATGTGGAACTTTGTTAGGGCATTTATACTATTTATTAAAACAAATTTCTGTTATCTGATAATAAGAATGGTAAATAAACAATTATTCAATTTGAACGCCAGTATGATAAAACGACCTTTAACGTCTTTATGTAAAAGACGTCGGAAGACGTTAACATTGTCAGTGGCGTTAAAAATAAAAAAGTGAAATTTCTCTTGAAATGTTAGGTAAGATGCAAGGAGCTTTATTTTAAGTCAGTATACAAATTATAAGAAACACTAGCTAATAAGTTATTTACTGACAATAATAGATACATAAAACATATATACACTAGCATGTAACAAATCTGATAAGTAAAATACATTCAGTGCATGAATAGAAGTAGGTAAGTATGAATAGGCAACAATAAGCAAATTTCAGAAAGAAAAAAAACAACAAATAATTTGTTTCAAGAGTTATAGAATTTCATTTATTTAAGAATTCAATTTGTCAATTAAAAAAAAATTAAGTGACGTTAAGGGCGGTTTTCTCATGCGGGCAGTCATTTCACTTTACTGACCTACGATACTGATGAATTTCTGCCAAGGTTTTCTGCAACCCCCTGTGATATAATTGTGTTTTAATTTGTTTAATATGAAATTTAACTAAATGCATGTCTCCGTATTCAAATGGAGAAAATAATATTTTTATTGGCACAGAATTTTTTAAAGCAATATCTATATGTAAATGTGATTCTTTGTGACTTTTTAAGTTTCTATATCATCACATAATTTTTAATTGATTTTTTTAACAACTTAAATAATGGAACTGATTAGTGTAGATGTTAGTTTAGTTGTTACATTTTTATTCTGTTTTTATGAGCTGCAATATAGGGCTTTTACATTGTCATTGTAAATATAGTATTATACTTTTTCTTGTAATTTCTTTACATTTCTTTAACAGGTATGGTGTGAAATTAAAAGATTAAAGCAAAATACTGCAAAATTCTGAAACTGAAATTTGGATCTTATCTGACAAGCAAAGCAACTAAAAGGGGAAAAAGAATATTAGTTTTATTGGTATACAGCAAGAAAAAAATGAAAGTTTTTTGTTGTTGTTGTTATAGGTTCATATGGGATGCTAGGCTTAGTGGTAAAGGTGTCTGCTCCTCAACCCAGGGGTTGTGAGTTCGAGCTTTTCTAAGGTCACAACCAGTACCAGCTATTTCCTGGAACTAAAAAGCTTATTCCTCAATCAAGCTTAAAGCAATATTTTAACTAAGGTTCATTTAAGGAGGTTTGCTTGAGGTCCAAAATCCCTGTAACAACATATAATTTGAAATGTTAACATAGATTAAATGGTGCAGTTTAAATGGAAAAAATATGCACACAAAATTAATTATAAAGAATGAAGCTAAGAATTTAATTGAAATTCAATTCTTTGTGATTCTTTGTCCAATTTGAGTTAAAGGCGTTACAAGGTTGTTGTTTTACATTTTAGTTCATTTTTCAATTTTGAAGTCATTTTATGCATTAAAAAAATTTATATAAAGTTGCACAAAATAGATAATGAAAAAATAATACATTTAGAAAATCAATTTTTGTATGATTCTTAGTCTGATTTGAGTTAAAGGTGTTGTAATTTAGTTCATTTTTCACAAGTTATTGGTTTAGACCACAGGTTTATAAAATTTATGTTTTTTAATGTATTTCTCACTGTGAGTGAAAAACAGTCTTTACCCCCAGTTTCAAATACGAGCAGGGAAATGGTTGGTGCATTTTGTTAATTTTAGGATCTATGTTTGATTTAAAGCAGCCTTCAGCTTTTATTTTTAATACATTTTGTCTTGGAAAAGTGCATCACTGTTGGGCCATCTTCAAAACAGTGTCCCGAGGGTTATTTATAGGGCACCAGTGACATTTGTTTATAAAAAAAAGAAGTTTCTAAAAATAGAAAATCTGTAAACAAATCATTCACTTTACTAATTGACAATAGAGAGCGAACCGGTACATATTAGAAGTATCAAGGGGTTTCCGTATTGTTTATGTATTTTATCGACTACAGATTTCAATTTCCATTTGTTTATTTGACAAATATATGAAACAATTTATCTAAAATTAACATATACAACCTTTAGAAAGGCTGATGGCTGCTTTATGGATATTGATTGAGAATTTCTGACAGTTTTTTTATCGTTTCAAAATTTAATGATATGATCATAATATGATAATGGCTGTAAATAAATTATTGCATGTAATTTTTAGTTTTAATCTTGCTAGATAAATACTTGTGTTTTTTTTTTTGTTGTTGTTTTTTTTTTTAAATATAAAGATATTGTCATGCTTGTATTTATTGTTTATCTGCTGTAGAAAATGGTGATGAATGTTTTTTGTTAGTTTTTTTTTCTTGCTTGTTCCCATATTATCACATTTTTTACGTTAATTCCATTTACCAATCTTGTTTACTGGTTTTTTCTGCCAATCCTCTTTAAGGACAGGTTTAGGTGATCCTAGTACGATATATTGTTAAGTCATACTTTTTATCCGGAACATTCACTTTTCTTGAGGTTATGATCATAAAATATTCATGTTTGTTGTAAACACAAGCAAGCTTGTCAATCCTCTAGGATATTTTTTGATTATGTAATATATTTCCTATCATGTCATATAAACAATAATCTGATACAGCTGAAATTTTTTAACCTTTGTAATCAATACAGAAAAATGTATGTAAAAGGACAAACCTTTGTAATCAATACAGATAAAATGTATGAAAACGGACAGAAAATAATGGACATAGTTTTTTTTTTCTTATTATTAAAGATATACTATGCTCAAATTTGATATGAGAAAATATTAACATGAGAAAATATTGTTAATTGCTTCACAGTCTTTTTGTAAATATAAAATAAATGTGTTTTGACTTCACACAAAGTAGATATGTTATGTTTAAGATTCTACAAACTATAGGTCATCACAATATAAATATATAATGTCAATAAAAAAAAACTGGAAGTTTTGTTTTAAAAGAAAAGACAAACTTTACTTGACCTGTTATAGGGAATGTAGCTTCCAATACATGTTTTTTTCATTCTTTTATTCATATTAATAGACATATTCAGTAACAATTTCAAAGATTTCAATAAATTTCTGTGATAATCTTTTACCCAAGGATGAGCATAGTATATCTTTAATGTTTTTCCATTATCAATAATAATGGATCTATATGTGAAGGCTGATACTTTTGAAAGATTCCTATCTATCTTGTTAAAGTGGAGAAAGTTTGATGACCCATGTTTTGCATATCATTGTATCATGTATTATTTGGCAGCTGTTTTGAGATTGAAAAATATCCTAGTTAACCAGGTTTTCAATTTTGAAAATCCTGGTTATTAGATTGGGGTATGGCGGGCGGATGGGCGGATGGGCGGATGGGCGGCTGGGCGGATGGGCGGATGGGCGGGCGGGCGTCAAACGAAATTGTGTCCGCTCTGTAACTCTTCAACCCTTTGAAGAATTTTGATGAAACTTCAGACAAATGTTTTACCACATCAAGATGACGTGCAGAACGCATGTTCCGCATGGCTGGCTCCAAGGTCAAGGTCACAGTGACATTAACATTGAAAATCCTGTCCGCTCTGTAACTCTTCAACCCTTTGAAGAATTTTGATGAAACTTCAGACAAATGTTTACCACATCAAGATGACGTGCAGAACGCATGTTCCGCATGGCTGGCTCCAAGGTCAAGGTCACAGTGACATTAACATTGAAAATCGGCGGGCGTCAAACGAAATTGTGTCCGCTCTGTAACTCTTCAACCCTTTGAAGAATTTTGATGAAACTTCAGACAAATGTTTACCACATCATGATGACGTGCAGAACGCATGTTCCGCATGGCTGGCTCCAAGGTCAAGGTCACAGTGACATTAACATTGAAAATCCTGTCCGCTCTGTAACTCTTCAACCCTTTGAAGAATTTTGATGAAACTTCAGACAAATGTTTACCACATCAAGATGACGTGCAGAACGCATGTTCCGCATGGCTGGCTCCAAGGTCAAGGTCACAGTGACATTAACATTGAAAATCCTGTCCGCTCTGTAACTCTTCAACCCTTTGAAGAATTTTGATGAAACTTCAGACAAATGTTTACCACATCAAGATGACGTGCAGAACGCATGTTCCGCATGGCTGGCTCCAAGGTCAAGGTCACAGTGACATTAACATTGAAAATCGGCGGGCGTCAAACGAAATTGTGTCCGCTCTGTAACTCTTCAACCCTTTGAAGAATTTTGATGAAACTTCAGACAAATGTTTACCACATCAAGATGACGTGCAGAACGCATGTTCCGCATGGCTGGCTCCAAGGTCAAGGTCACAGTGACATTAACATTGAAAATCCTGTCCGCTCTGTAACTCTTCAACCCTTTGAAGAATTTTGATGAAACTTCAGACAAATGTTTACCACATCAAGATGACGTGCAGAACGCATGTTCCGCATGGCTGGCTCCAAGGTCAAGGTCACAGTGACATTAACATTGAAAATCCTGTCCGCTCTGTAACTCTTCAACCCTTTGAAGAATTTTGATGAAACTTCAGACAAATGTTTACCACATCAAGATGACGTGCAGAACGCATGTTCCGCATGGCTGGCTCCAAGGTCAAGGTCACAGTGACATTAACATTGAAAATCCTGTTTACATGATTTTAACTTGATTTGGCAGTCAAAGGTCATATCATCTTTGGAGGTAATTTAAAAAAGATATGATATATTATTTCATGTCTACTTTGTAACTTGTTTTTCATTATACAGAATTATCAATATAATTATAGTGAACAAATTCTTCTGTGCTGAACTCGTCCTACATTTCTCAGCGGATTTTGTTCAAACTTTCACAGAAGCTTTGTCATCAAGCACCCTGGCACATATTGTCGGGGTTTTGTGATTGGATAGTTTTTGACCTAATTATGGCCCTTTGTTTTTTTCCTTATACATAATATTATAGTGAACACTTCTTCAGTGGCAATTCCTCCTACATTATTCATGTTTTACATTGCACATAGTTACATTGTTTGTTGCTTGTATTTGTATTTCAAATACAACATATTTATCTACAATGGTGATAATTGAAAACCTGGTTTCATGGCATTGCCATGTTTCTTGTTATGTTTTAGTCAGTGAATTTATGCATCAAAAAGTACATACAGTCAAACCTGCCCATGTAAACTGTTTGTTCTAGGGAAATGATATAAGGGGACTTTTCAGAGTAATTTTAGTGTTCAAGAGAATCATATGGTGGGGAGGATGGTTGGGGCATGGGGGCTCAGAGGCTGAGTGGGTAAGGTTTCTGACTACGAATCAATAGTCTGTCATTACTGTGGGTTGAAATCAGATAGTGAGAGGGAGAATTGGGGACTCTGAGGTTGAGTGGTTAAGGTAAATGACTTGAAATCAATTACCCCTTATTGCTGTGGGTTAAAATGCCATTGTGGGGATCAAGATTTCTTATGTGAGAGAGCTGTCCAACTGGCTTAGAGGAAGTTGATGATTCTATTTAGGTTTCTCCTTATGATTGAAATAATGCATAGAGTGGGCTCCACCTGAGGTCTTCTTACACTAGTAAACCAAACAAAACGGGAACAACAACGTGTTGGACTCTTTCAAGGCTGGTTTCCTGTATATATATTATATTTTGAGGTAGTCTTCGGGACAGGTTTGACTGTACATAAAATTGATTGATGTCTGTATCTTTATTATCCCCCGCCGAAAAGGCGGCGGGGGATATAGAAATAGTCTCCGTCCGTCCGTCCTTCCGTCCGACATTTTTGTCCGGAGCATATCTCTAAAAGTATTTTAGGTATCAACTTGAAACTTCATAGGTGGATAGACCTCATTGAGGAGGAGTGCAGTGCACAAGAATGATAACTCTACCCTGCATAATTTTTGAGTTATTGCCCTTTGTTATTTTTTCAAAATTGATTTTTGTCCAGAGCATAACTCCAAAAGCCTATGAGATATCAACATGAAACTTCATAGGTGCATAGATCTCACTCAGGAGGTGTGCAGTGCACAAGAATGATAACTCTACCTTTCATAATTTTTGAGTTATTGCCCTTTGTTATTTTTCTTACTTAATTTTTCACCTGAGTGAAGCATAACTCAAAAAGTGTTTGAGATATCAACATGAAATGTCATAGGTGGATAGATCTTATTGAGGAGGAATGTTGTGCGCAAGAATGATAACTCTTCCCTATACAATTTTTGAGTTATTGCCCTTTGTTCTTTTTCATGCTATTTTGTCCAGAGCTTATCTCAAAAAGTATTTTAGGTATCAACTTGAAACTTCATAGGTGGATGGATCTCATTGAGGAGGAGTGCAGCACACAAGAATGATAACTCTACCCTGCATAATTTTTGAGTTATTGCCCTTTGTTATTTTTCAAAATTAATTTTTGTCAGAGCAGAACTCTAAAAGCCTTTGAGATATCAAAATGAAACTTCATAGGTGCATAGATCTCACTCAGGAGGTGTGCAGTGCACAAGAATGATAACTCTACCTTTCATAATTTTTGAGTTATTGCCCTTTGTTATTTTTCATACCTAATTTTTCACCCGAGTGGAGCATAACTCAAATGCGTTTGAGATGTCTACATGAAATGTCATAGGTGGATAGATTTTATTGAGAGGAATGCTGTGCACAAGAATGATAACTCTTCCCTGTACAATTTTTGAGTTATTGCCCTTTGTTCTTTTTCATACTATTTTGTCCAGAGTTTATCTCAAAAAGTATTTGAGGTATTAACTTGAAACTTCATAGGTGGATGGATCTCATTAAGGAGGAGTGCAGTGCACAAGAACGATAACTCTACCCTGCATAATTGTTTAGTTATTGCCCTTTTTTTATTTTTCAAAATTAATTTTTGTCAAGAGCATAACTCAAAAGGCCTTTGAGATATCATTTTGAAACTTCATAGGTGCATAGATCTAATTCAGGAGGTATGCAGTGCACAAGAATGATAACTCTACCTTTTATAATTTTTGAGTTATTAGCTCACCTGTCACAAAGTGACAGGGTGAGCTTTTGTGATCGCTTTTCGTCCGGCGTCCGCCGTCGTCCGTCCGTCCGTCCGTAAACTTTTACTTTAAATGACATCTCCTCATAAACCACTAAGCCAATTTCATCCAAACTTCACAGGAATGTTCCTTTGGTGGTCACCTTTAAAAATTGTTCAAAGAATTTAATTCCATGCAGAACTCTGGTTGCCATGGCAACCAAAAGAAAAAACTTTAAATATTTTCTTTTAAAAAACCGTAAGAGCTAGAGCTTAGATATTTGGCATGAAACATCTTCTAGTGAGTGTCTACCAAGTTTGTTCAAATAAAAGCCCTGGGGTCAAAATTGGCCCCGCCCCGGGGGGTCATTGATTTTCCCTATATACATATAGTAAAAACTTAAAAAATCTTCTTTTAAAGAACCAAAAGACCTACAGCTAAGATATTTAGCATGAAACATGTTCTAATGGGTGTCTACCAAGTTTGTTCAAATAAAAGCCCTGGGGTCAAAATTGGCCCCGCCCCGGGGGGTCATTGATTTTCCCTATATGCATATAGTAAAAACTTAAAAAATCTCTTTTAAAGAAACTCAAAGAGCTATGGCTAAGATATTTAGCATCAAACATGTTCTAATAGGTGTTCTACCAAGTTTGTTCAAATAAAAGCCCTGGGGTCAAAATTGGCCCGCCCCAGGGGTCATTGATTTCCCTAATATGCATATTAGTAAAAAACTTAAAAAATCTTCTTTTAAAGAACCAAAAGATTAAAGCTAAGATATTTAGCATGAAACATGTTCTAATAAATGTCTACCAAGTTTGTTCAAATAAAAGCCCTGGGTCAAAATTGGCCCCGCACCCGGGGTCATTGATTTTCCCTATATCATATAGTAAAAAACGTAAAAAATCTTCTTTTAAAAAACCATAAGAGCTAGAGCTTAGATATTTGGCATGAAAAACATCTTCTAGTGAGTGTCTACCAAGTTTGTTCAAATGAAAGCCCTGGGGTCAAAATTGGCCCGGCCCGGGGGGTCATTGATTTTCCCTATATGCATATAGTAAAAACTTAAAAAATCTTCTTTTAAAGAACTCAAAGAGCTATGGCTAAGATATTGAGCATCAAACATGTTCTAATAGGTGTTACCAAGTTTGTTCAAATAAAAAGCCCTGGGGTCAAAATTGGGCCCCACCCCAGGGGGTCATTGATTTTTCCTATATGCATATAGTAAAAACTTAAAAAATCTTCTTTAAAGAACCAAAAGACCTACAGCTAAGATATTTAGCATGAAAACATTTTCTAATAAGTGTCTCTACCAAGTTTGTTCAAATAAAAGCCCTGGGTCAAATTGCCCCGCCCCGGGGATCATTGATTTTCCCTATATGCATATAGTAAAAACTTAAAAAATCTTCTTTTAAAGAACCAAAAGAGTTAAAGCTAAGATATTTAGCATGAAACATGTTCTAATAAATGTCTACCAAGTTTGTTCAAATAAAAGCCCTTGGGTCAAAATTGGCCCCGCACCCGGGGGGTCATTGATTTTCCCTATATACATATAGTAAAAACGTAAAAAATCTTCTTTTAAAAAACCATAAGAGCTAGAGCTTAGATATTTGGCATGAAACATCTTCTAGTGAGTGTCTACCAAGTTTGTTCAAATGAAAGCCCTGGGGTCAAAATTGGCCCGGCCCCGGGGGGTCATTGATTTTCCCTATATGCATATAGTAAAAACTTAAAAAAATCTTCTTTTAAAGAACTCAAAGAGCTATGGCTAAGATATTGAGCATCAAACATGTTCTAATAGGTGTTTACCAAGTTTGTTCAAATAAAAGCCCTGGGGTCAAAATTGGCCCCACCCCAGGGGGTCATTGATTTTTCCTATATGCATATAGTTAAAACTTAAAAAATCTTCTTTTAAAGAACCAAAAGACCTACAGCTAAGATATTTAGCATGAAACATTTTCTAATAAGTGTCTACCAAGTTTGTTCAAATAAAAGCCCTGGGGTCAAAATTGGCCCCGCCCCGGGGGATCATTGATTTTCCCTATATGCATATAGTAAAAACTTAAAAAATCTTCTTTTAAAGAACTCAAAGAGCTATGGCTAAGATATTTAGCATCAAACATGTTCTAATAGGTGTCTACCAAGTTTGTTCAAATAAAAGCCCTTGGGTCAAAATAGGCACCGCCCCGGGGGTCATTGATTTTCCTTATATGTGTATAGCAAAAACTTAAAAAATCTTCTTTGAAAAAACCCAAATAGCTAGAGTTAAGATATTAAGCATGAAACATCTTTTAAATAAAAGCCCTGGGGTCAAAACTGGTCCGGCCCCAGGGGTGTCATTGTTTTTAACTATATGTGTATAGTAAAAACTTAAAAAAAATCTTCTTTCAAAAAGCCCAATGAGCTAGAGCTTAGATGTTTAGCATGAAACATCTTCTTATGGGTGTCTACGGAGTTTGTGCAAATAAAAGCCCTGGGGTTAAATTGGCCCTGCAACGTTGGGGGGTTGGGGGGCCTATATACAGGTGAGCGACCTCAGGGCCATCATGGCCCTCTTGTTGCCCTCTGTTATTTTTCATACTTAATTTTTCAATTCAATTTTTTTTCTCAAAAAGTATTTGAGGTATCAACTTAAAACTTCATAGGTGGATGGATTTTACTGAGGAGGGATGCAGCACACAAGAATGATAACCTACCCTGCATTATTTTTCAGTAATTGCCCTTTGTTATATTCAGCCATCAGTATTCACATAGGTTTCAAATCTGTAATCACTATAGCCATCAGTTTTCATTACCAAAAGACCTCTTAAAATGGAATTATTCTGCTCTACTACATATACATTCTTCCAATGAGCAAACACATTCGGCGGGGATGGCCATGTTGACATGGCTCTTGTTAAACTAAAAACTTATTTGCTCAGGTTTTCTTTTACATACATAACACATTTGCACTAGTTTATTACATCACAAAACATGTAAATATTCTGTCAAACCATCGGCAGAAATGCTTATATCTTGAAATAAACTGACAGATTTACAACATACACATTTAAAAATGTAGCCTTTAGTTAGCTTACAAAAAAATTTCTTGTTTTAATTTTTTTCATCAAAGTAATTATGACTTTTCCTGCCAATTTGTATAAAAAATTAATTTGTCTTTTATTCCCTCATTTTATCATTGATGTTGTTGTTTTAGTTGTTGTTTAAGAAGTACAACTTGTACATGTTTGTTTTTGTTTTGTTTTTTTCTGTTGATTGTACATAATTGAATGACTGGTGTATAATTATTTTGTTGTGACAAGATCTCTATTTTATCCATTTTTGCATCATTAGTGCTGTTTTCACTTTAGTCCTGTTTTTTCCCAAACATTTTGTTGTCATTCATCTGATATTGATGTGAAAGAAGTAAAACTATTTTGTCTCAGTAATGTTGTGAGTTTCCAGTGGGTTTTGTAACGTTAAACATAAATTTAGGCACAACTTTTAACATAGTAAATCTTAAAACATTATTCTAAAAAGTTTGGGCATGTCTTGAAATGAACTGGCAATTTTCCGTTTTAGTGTAATTGATTTGGGTTGGGCAGGGT